AAAAAATATATATATATATATATATATATATTCTCAATCCACCCCTAGCAGATATTGTACTCTTTAGTTTATCTTCACAATTATAACGGTGTTTCATTATCCTCCCCAACCGATGTGGGATCTTACATCCTCGCTTGCACTTGTTCCTTTCTCCAATTAATGTGGGATCCCCTCCAAATCCACCCCTTCGAGGCTCAGCGTCCCTATAGGCACACCGCCTCGTGACCACCCTTTTGGGGCTCAATCTTCTTACTGGCATATCGCCCGATGTCTGACTCTGACACCATTTGTAACGGTCCAAGTTTCTCCTTAATTTTTTTTTTTTAAAATATGCTTAATTTTTTTAAAAATATTCATTAAAACCGTTATTTAAAAAAAAAAAAAAAAAAAAGTTTCTAGAACTGTTTTCACACACAGGCACACAAAAGATTCGACATTAAATGAGGGGCGTAATTGTAAATTCACACAAAAAGACCTCCCCGTCCTCCTCCTCCGTTAAGTACTCCTCCCATTCCCTCTTCCAGATTGAACCAAAAAAATGGCTAATCCCGCCGTTCTCCTCTGCCTTGTGTCTCTCATCTCAGCAATGTGGACGGCAGATGCTAGAATTCCCGGCGCCTACTCCGGTGGCCCATGGCAGACCGCTCACGCCACCTTCTACGGCGGCTCCGACGCATCGGGCACAATGGGTAGGCTCGAAAATTGAAACAAACAAAGAAATGCGTTGAGATTTGGGTTTTGATTTTGGGTGGGAAGATATTTAATCATGAATTATAGTTTATTATATATATTAAATTTTTTATTATAGACAAATATCTAGATATTCAAAGGTTCTCATCTGGATACGTGTGCACTCAGGTGGGGCTTGTGGGTATGGGAATTTGTACAGCCAAGGGTACGGGGTGAACACGGCGGCGCTGAGTACGGCGCTATTCAACAATGGGCTGAGCTGTGGCGCGTGTTTCGAGATCAAATGTGCGAATGACCCGAGATGGTGCCATTCGGGTAGCCCGTCGATTGTCATAACGGCCACCAACTTCTGCCCGCCCAACTTCGCTCTGCCCAGTGACAATGGCGGCTGGTGTAACCCTCCTCGCCCCCATTTCGATTTGGCCATGCCTATGTTTCTCAAGATCGCTGAATATCGCGCCGGCATCGTCCCCGTCGCCTTCCGCCGGTCAGCCTCTTTCTTCCTCTGCCTTTTATTTCTTTTTTCTTTAAATTACCATTTTACCCCTTTCTTTAATTTAATTTACTTTATTTTTTAAAAATATTTGTAGATCTATTAAAAACAAAAATTACAAGTTAGTTATATTTAAAATAAAATATATTTTTATATTTAAAATATAGGTGAATTATCTCTATTTCCGGTCGCATATACACAATTTACCCTAAATCGTTAGTAAATTTTTTAGTAAATAACTAAAAGTTACATGAGTTCGAAACCCAGGTGCACAAATTTCGTGGCACCACCTAGCCCATTTAGTTAGTCGTGTACGTAGGATACGAGTTAGCTTATTCGGGGTTCATGTTTAGCTACCCTAATTTTTATGGTACCCTTGCAACTATTATATATATATATATATATTATATTTATTTATTTCAAAAATAAAATTAAAATTTTAAATTACGCAGGGTGCCATGCCGGAAGCAAGGGGGGATCCGGTTCACGGTCCACGGGTTCAGGTACTTCAACTTGGTTTTAATCACGAACGTCGCGGGTGCAGGGGATATCGTGAAGGTGAGCGTGAAGGGCACGCGAACCGGGTGGATGAGCATGAGCCGGAACTGGGGTCAAAACTGGCAGTCAAACGCCGTGTTGGTGGGGCAGGCACTGTCTTTTAGAGTCACAGGCAGTGACAGACGGACATCCACCACGTACAACGTGGCGCCAGCTGATTGGCAGTTTGGTCAGACCTTCATCGGCAAGAATTTTAGGGTTTGAAAGGAGAGGACAGACCAATAAGAGTGAAGAGTTGGGATTTGACGTGGCGTGAGGTGATTGGAGTATTGTTGAGTGTGAAGTAAATATATGACGTGGAAGAAGGCTGGGGAGGCTGAACAAAAGTGTGGTCCACAGTCCAACATGATATAATATATTTATTTTTATAATTAATATGTGTTCCCAAGCATTTTTATTTAACAACAAAATGAATTATGTATTTTAGCTACTTTTTATATACTAGATTAATTGCTCATTTAAGCCCATCCTAGAGATATCCACCCGTTAAATGAGATCGAAAAAATTATTTTGGATAAATCAAAATTTTGAGTTAATTAGATGGGTGACCCCAGCAATCTGAATAGAGTTCACAATTCAACTCAACTCAATCGATTGGATAGAGCCCAATTACTCGGTTGTATTTTAATTACTTTTAAAAAGTTATATTATATATTAATTACTAAAATATTATAAAATTTAAATATCAAACAATGACAGTCATAATGCATCACTATCATTTCTTACAAGTATCAAATATTCTTAATTTTCATATAATTTTCATATAATTTCAAAATCTCAACCGACTAACCAACCCAAATTTTCAGTTTTCCAAAAATTCAACCCAACCCAAAGTGGACAAAAAAAAAAAAAAAAAAAAAATATA